GAGTTAATCGTCTGTGATGAGAGTGAAACGTCTAGAATAAGACATCCAAGAGAAAAAAAAAATCTCTTTTTCTTATGTGTCAGAGCATACAACGAAATGTTTTATTCTGTATCGATGGATACAAATTTTTGTATCCACGTTACAAATTTACAATGCTACAAATGTACAAGCGCACACATTGCCGAGATTTGCTAATGCAGCTATTTTCAGTAATTTTCAGCTGTGATTTTGACTGAGCCGAAGAGTGTTCTTATCTGACAAATTGCTGACGAGTGTCTCGGCGTGTTTTCGGTAGTCGTCAGTAGTGGGCAGCGGACCGAGAATAAGTGACAAATACTGAGAGTGTGTTGTCAGTTAGAATCAGCTAGATGTCAAAGCCTGAGTATAGCTGAAGTACGCAGTAGTGCCTACGTCAGTTATTGTCACTAAATCTCAGCTCATCTTCCGATGCTGGCAAATACTAAAAATCCGTGCAAAAAAGCCATCGCCTAATTGTTAGCTCGGAGTTGTCCCCGGCTCAGCATTTTTGGAGCTGTCATATGGCTGAATCAGCTATTGCGAGCTATTCGCGTGCTTTCTCAGGTGTTCGACAGGTAACAGCAATGTGACCGCAGCCCTACCTCAGTTAACATTTTGTCCCGGGCAATGCATGCTGTTGGGTTTTCAGAGTATAGTCACTCAATCTACTAAAGTTCGTAACTATTTTAACTGGAACCTTCAGATATTTTAACTCCCTTCGTTTTCTTTCACCCGGACGCACCGGAAAACACTGTACCCACATTTCGTCTTGGCCGGCAAAACGAACACTCTAGAGAAGTAAATTTAAAAAAAAAATAATTAAAAGAAATCGAAAACAAAGCATTCAAATATTGGTGCCCCCACAAACGCTTTCATCTTCCACAAGTCTCATATATGAGCCCCACAAAAAGGAGCGGGTGGGAGCGGGCTCCCTCACATGTGGGCCTCGAGGGGTCCTGAGGCCTCATTTATGAGCCCGCCAAGGAGCATTCACATATGACCCTGCGCTAGCACCCACAATGTCAGATGGTCTCACATGTAAACCCCCACAAACCCTTTCATCTTCCACAAGGACAAAACACTAACTAACCTTAGTTGTTCCAGGCTTACAGGGTAACCCCGCCAATTATAAATTCCCAATTCTCTTTCTACTTTGGGAAATTGTCGGTCTATGTGTCATCGAAGGAAACATCAAAAACATTTGCTCATATTTACATTTAAGGGTTATTTTAGGCATCCGTGCCAAAAGCTGCTATTTTAACAATTTTTTATAATTTTCAAGAATGTTCACTAAGTGGTAACTCGTCAGATTGCGGCCCGTAGGCCCGTAGCCCGTAGGCCCCTGGTTAGTCCTAGTACTAATTTATCGTGATATTGTAAAAAAGGCTACATTTGTTGAAATACAATGCCCAACTAAATTGATTTAAACAAATAAAACAACTTTTTCAATAGTTATGGAAAAAATCAAGTTTAAACTTTTCTTACGGACCTTCCTTTCTGACGCCCATCGTCGAGCCGAAGATGGTATCACTCTCACCATGCTATCACTAAATCTTGTATCAGATCTGGTATCAGAGCGTCAGGTATTTTCCGAGCACACGTTGCCACAAGCTTGGCCTGTGAGAATTCAAACAAGTTCTAAGGATTATAGATTTGCTGTTTACGTTTGTTGCGTACAATCTGATGCCTCCAAGGAGCAGACCAAGTTCTCAGCAGCGAAGGAGCTGCTTCAGATTCTCAGCAACAAAGGACCTGCTTCAAATTCTCAGCAGCGAGGGGCTGCTTTAAATCCTCGGCAGCGAGGGACTGCTTTAAGTTCTCAGATGCAAAGTCAACAGACAAGTCGCCGTGGTTGTGCACACGAGGCAAGCGTATGAACGGATATCAATGTAATGTGTGATGTACAAAGTAAACCCAGATTTTAAAAGTGATATCAAATAAGCTTGTGCATTCAACCTCTGTCTGCAAGTCCATCTGCCCCTATCGTTGTTTCCTTTTAAACATAAGTAGGAGTAGGAATGTGACAGGAAGGCAGGGTTGGGAACGTTACTTTAACGATTAACGACGTTACAGCGTTTTCGTTAACGTTAATTAACGTTATCGTCAACTCGATAAAATTTTGGGTGCCTGTAACGATATCGTAAACGCGTTACTTTTTGTCCTTAACGACGCAACGGCGTTATCGTTAATTTTTCGTCTA